ACTCTGAAGCTCGAACAAGAAGCTCAGAGCTGCTCCTTCCACTTCCTCCCCAAAAGGGATAAAGAAAACCCACTGGTAGAACCAAACCACCCAAGGTCAGCCCTTCAGCCTGCCTCCTCCTTCCTGGGGCATGACAAAATACTTCTTTTGTCTCAGAGGACTCTGATGCTTCAAGACTTAATGATGAATCTCTGCCACGCTCCATTTTCCCTCCTCTGTAGCTCCCAACAACTCTGACACGGTCAGATCTCTTTAAAGCATCTTTGGGAGGCGGTTGCCACGGAGACTGGATATTGGTCCCAGGGACAGTCTGTGCTGCCTACTGGGTGGTGGGGAGGGAAGCTTCTGGCCATGCTTAGACATTCAAACCAACCATCATTAATGTTAATAGAGGAAATGCAGCAACGTCAAAAGCAAGACAGGTTGGTTAATTAGATCTGGGGCCTGATGACCTCCCTCTCCCACGGTTACAGTCCTTTTGACTTCCCCCAGCAGGAAGCGCTGTCTGTGTGGCTGCGTCTGGGCTCCTTGCTTAATTGCATTTCTGGCAGGGAAGGAGAAGGGGGATGGAGAAGCTCTGCTCCCTGCTTCCACCTTGCCACGTTTCCTCTCCTCCCCTCCCCTGTCTTCCCCTTCTCCGCACAGGCAGAATTTCTTCTGAGCCGAGCGGGCTCTCCTGCAGGTAGAATGCCGGAATCTGTGGTTGGCTCTTAGCAAAGCAGGCGGCCCACAGTGACATCCAGGAGGTGGCTGACTTTCCTTTGTGCCTTATTTCCCAGTAGGAACTTGGAAGGGAGGAGCTCTGAAGGAGCGAGAGGGGCAGCCACCCCAAATGAGGGTGAGGAAGGAGACGCCCAGCCAGCCTCTACCCCATCCCTCCCTCCCAATTAGGCTGCACTGGGGCTGAACGCTTCCCTGGCTCCTGCTGCCTTCTAAGGATCCAAGGAGAATTCTCTGCCCATCTTCTCTTCCTCCATGCCCAGACTGGCAGATGCCTTTCTGGGTGCAAGGCTACATGGGTTGATGCAGCTTTGAATACTCAGGTTCTGTTTTCTGGAAGATGCTGGAGAAAGGCTGTCAGGGGGTTTCTCTGAATATGGGCATCAGCCTTAGCGCTTGGCAGAAATGGGTCCCACAAACTGCTGGTGGAGGAAGGAGACATTCGTCGACCAGTTCAACTTCCAGCCAGCTTCTTGAGTCTCATTTGGTTAAAAAAAAAAAAGCCTTCTAATCAGAAGCCACTGACTTTTATAATAAATAGCACTTGTTTTGAATGCCATGTTGTCTTTGTACTTAATTGAATCTGACTTGCCCTCTGGCTTCCAGAAAAGCCTCCCTGAGAAGAACGTTGTGAGTGCAGGAACCATCCCTGGTGTCATGTTCGAGGCTGGGCTAATTCCTGCAGAGGCCCTGGGCTGGGCAGGTGAGCCTGATTACTCCAGGTGGCGTTTGGGCCTCTCCATGGATACAGTTACTTGAGTAATGTTGGTTGCCATTTTGGTACATTTAAACTGATCCAAAATAAGTAGGAAGCTGGACCTCTGATTGTCCTCTTTTAACCTGCTCACATGGCAAAGAAAGGTGTGCAAGAAGAAGTTGTCCCCTTCCCAGACAGCCCAGTGTCCCAGCACTGTAGCAACTAGCCATTCTGCCTAACAGGCCCCCATCTTGACAGGGGTGCTTGTTAGCGGGAGTGATATTAGGATCTGAAGGCAGCAGGAGCTGACCTGAATGTTGGACAGAGGTGGGGGGAGGGGAGTTAGCACCGTGCTGTGGAACTGGGGGTCTTCTGGGCTGCCTAGCCACCCTCTGGTGGCGCTGGTGGGGAGAGTGGGGCGTGTGGATCTTCGGGAGATGGAACATGCCTATGACAGGCAGGTTAGGAAGGGGCCAGATCAGTCTTCCTTGAGTGATACAGCTTAGTTTACAAAGTCTCAACACCCCTCCAACAATCCTCATAAAGGCCCAGTGAAGTCAATGATGGTTTTGTTCCCATTCTACCCATGAGAGATTAAATTACTTGCCTTAAGTTCCCACGATTAGTTAATAGTAGAGCCAGGACTCTCTAGCCTGGTCCTGGGACTAGAAGCACCTTCCCAGAACAGCTTGTCAGTCCTAGATACCCCAGGGAGAAGGCCTGAGCACTCAGCCCAAAGTCCCTGACGCAGCACGTTCCTGTGAACCTGCTGCTTAATGCATCAGCAGCTGCTCATATAGGGCTTAGTTTTCTGGGCTCCCCCAGGTGCACCCAGATCAGTGTATGCTGGTAGATGTTTGACCACAGGTGCTCTGGGAGGAAAAACTGGTATGTATAGCATTTGCCAATTTCCATGGTGTAACTGTTCCCACCATGTTCTGTTTTTAGGCTACCAACTTGTCACTGAATGAGAAGCTGGAAAGAGATGCACACAGCTGGTTCTTGAGAGGCGTATAAAAGCTGGCTCCAGTGGCCGGGCGCGGTGGCTCAAACCTGTAATCCCAGCACTTTGGGAGGCCGAGGCGGGTGGATCACGAGGTCAAGAGATCGAGACCATCCTGGTCAAAATGGTGAAACCCCGTCTCTACTAAAAATACAAAAAATTAGCTGGGCATGGTGGTGCGTGCCTGTAATCCCAGCTACTCAGGAGGCTGAGGCAGGAGAATTGCCTGAACCCAGGAGGCAGAGGTTGCAGTGAGCTGAGATCACGTCATTGCACTCCAGCCTGGGTAACATGAGTGAAACTCTGTCTCAAAAAAAAAAAAAAAAAAAAGCTGGCTCCAGCACACCGCAGACCCAGACCCAGTGACCATGGCTTGATCTGAACTATGAGTGGGGCTCTTGGCCATAGCCCATTAAAGCAAGGGGGGCATGGAGGCCTACAGCCTGGGCCAGAGAGACCTGTGGTCAAATCTTGGCCTCCACCGCTTATTAACTGTGAATTTGGGCTAGTTGCTTAACCTCTGACTCCGTTTCCTCAGCTGTAAAACAAGGGTATGATAAATAGCACCTACTTCACAGAGTTATTGTGAGGAGGAAAAGAGGAAATGAAGTAACATGCCCCGAACAGTGTCCAGACATAAACGCCAGCTCTGTATTATGATTAATACAGAGACCTCAAAGACAGCACTGGCTCTGGGACAGTACTTGAACTCTCTTCTAGGTTCTTGCCTCCTGGTTGGATGACCCACAGGGAGGAGAGCACCTGTGACTTTTACTGAGCCCCTCAAATGTGGGCTCAGACCCTTGGTCTACTGATGGGAATATATCACTCTGGTCGCTTAGGCCCATCCAGATTCTCAGGCCTTTCTTGAAGGGAGCAGGGATAGAGTGCACTTAGCTTGGCTTATCTTAGCATGTATCTCCTGGCTCTAGGAAGACTAAGAGTGAAGCCATGGTTTGACTGCTGACTACACTTAACTAGCTATGGCCGTTAACTCCCCCTGCCTCATCAGACTCCAGACCCTGGCCAGAGGAGAGAGGAAGCAAGATGGGTCCTAAGTGTAGACTGCTGGCAAGAAGCACGAGCTGGGTAGAGTGGGGTAACTTAGACCAGCCAGGTGGCCTGCACAGAGCATCTGGGCACTGAAGAGTGAAGGTCACCAGTGACATGTGGTCTTGCCCTGTGACCTGCTGAACCTGGCCACAGATGCATGAGACCCCAAGCTGGATGTTTAGTCACGTCTTCTCCCTGCAGCACCCCTCCCTTTGTGCTCTTGCTTGGGGACCTCTTGGACCCTACGATCCCAGCTTTTCCAGGCTGCCTCATAGCCTTGCTCTCCTGCTCCAGCGCAGAGATGTGTGGGGAAATGGGGAATAGACTAGGAGGCACCACAAACTCCTGAGTCCTTGGAAGAGGGAGAACCACTAGGTGGTTTCCTGGGGCATGGCTGGGAGCAGGAAAGAAGAGTTCTGAGGCACTCAGTTCTGATTCAGGGCCAGAAAGAGAAATTTTAAAGGCCAGGATTCACCACTCCGTGTCTAGCACAGGGCTGGGCATGGAGCCCAGCTGTTCATAACCAGGGGCTCAAGAACACACGCACCTTGTACCCATGGAACAGAAGGAGGTGGACTAGAAGGCCCCAGAGCCTGCGCCACCCAACCCCCTTGCTGCACAACTGAGGAAACAGGCCCAGAGAGGCGTGGATTGATAGAGGAGATGGGCTTGGAGGCTCCTGAGGGAACAATGAGAGACAAAGGAAGGTGAAACGGGTTCTCTCCCAAACCTGGGCCACCAGCACTGTGCGGAGCCTGAGGAACTTTCTGCTTCAAAGTGAAAAGTTTAGTTCTAATGGACAAGTGGCCAACTGCACACCGAGTGGGGAGCATGGATTCTATCATCTGAACTTCTATCGAAAAAATTAAACTACTTCCATTAAAAAAAAATGATTAAAAATCATGGAAGTGGGGAGGGCCCCAGGAGGGGAGAGGTGAAAAATACAAATAAAAATTAAATCATGGAATGGTAGAATCTTAGAGCTGAACACCCTCAAGATTTCATCCTGGCCAAGCAGAGCTGGGATAAGATTCCACCCTGGCCAAGCAGAGCTGGGATTAGAACTGGAGTTCACGGATTTCTAAAGATGGAGTCTCAAAAAAACCCAGGCCTGGCTGGGGATGGCTGTGGTCTTGGCCCTGTCCCTAGGGCTGAAAGCCCTGGTGGTCCCCAACGAGTGCGGGTGCCCTAGTCAGACCCAGAGCTAGACGCCCCAGGCCGCCTCCCCAGGCCCCACCTGCGGAAGGAAGGAGACTGCGGGCCAGGTAGGTGGCAAACTCAAATGCCTCCAGCAATGCTGGAGTGGAGGGGCCTGTGAAGAGAGGGCGCATGCAGCGCCTACCTGAGGCCACCAAATTCAACACAGTGGCCTCGGGGATCGGGAGGAGAAACTGAGGCCCAGAGAGCCTCGGCGATGTCAGTTACGTTCTGCAGGCCAGGCCTTTCCCAGGCCACCAGGTCGTCGCTGGAGGAGGGAGCGCGCGCTCGCTGGCCTGGAGAGGGCGGGGGCCGCAGTGGCTTTAAAGCGCCCAGCCCGGGCGGCGCGGGGCGGGGCGGCTCTCGCGACTGGGGGACGCAGGGCGCAGCGGCCGAGCGGGGTCCCCGGAAGCACAGCTGGGGCACCTCCGCCTACGGCCGGCCGCACGCCTCTTCTCTCCCGCGCCAGGGAAGAAGCGGCTACGGCCCCCACTGGGCGGAGGCACGGGGGTCATAGAGGGGGCGGAGGGGTCCACGTCGCGGAGGAGATGGTGCGGCACGTGCTGTGACGGCGCCCGCGCCCCGAGGGTCCCAGCCCCGAGTCCCTGGGACAGCATGGAGCGCCCGGAGCCCGAGCTGATCCGGCAGAGCTGGCGGGCTGTGAGCCGCAGCCCTCTGGAGCACGGCACAGTCCTGTTCGCCAGGTGAGGGCGGCCCGAGCGCCCCAGGGGTGCGGGTGGAGGCTGCCTCGGCGGGAAAGGGGTCACGCAGCAGCACCGGCCCCGGAGGAGTGAAAACTCGCCGCTGCCGGGGCTTTGGGGCGCCTGCCAGATGTGCGCCAGAAGAGCGGGGCGCGGCGACGGCTGGCACTGCCCCTCTGCCTTTCTCCCGGTCGTGGGCGCCTGTTGCCAACCAGCGCCGCACACTCTGCTCCCAATGGGGCTCACCTGGTCGGGCGGGGGTCCCCTCCCGCGGATCTCCCCACATACGGGCGGGTGGACCTCCGTCCCCGCTCTGCGCCTCCATCCCGCTTTGTGCCTCCTGCGTGTTCCTTGCGTGGCGACTTGCAGGGGTGCCCCTGCTGCCGGTACCAGGGCACTGGGGTACCCCGAGGGCCGGGGAGGGGAGGTGTGCGGGGCGAGCTCCTGTGCCCGCGTGTGAGCGCGCGGGGTCCGGCTCCAGGTTTGTGGATTCCTGACAACCAACGGGACAAAGCTTTCCGAGGAAAGGTCCAGAGAGCCGCTGGGGAAGGGGTGACAGACGCGGGAACCTCACCGCAGGGGAGAGGGATGCGGGGTGCGCAGGGCCTGGGGGAAGGGGAGGCCAGTCTCCAACTGGCCGTCTCGGTAACCCCTCTGTCATCACCAACCGGGCACCGCTTCTCTCACCGTGGTGTTCCCAATCCTTGGCACCCTCACGCAGTCCAGAACTTCTGCCCAGGCTTCCGCAAAACCACCCCAAGATAAAAGAGGAAAAAATTCGGTTACCCAGTGAGCCCTCCCAATGCCGAGAAGAGAGCCTCTGCTTCTGCCTCCGGACTCCCCCCAGCCCACTTTTTTTTCAGGCACCCGCTGTGGCTCCGCGACATCCAAACTGTGTGACCATAGGCAAGTTCTAGCCTCACTGGGCTTCTGTTTTCTCCTCTGTAAAATTGGGATAACACTTGAATCCACTGCTAAGGACTGTGAGAAATACAGTTACAAGTTAATCACACGGAAAATACTCAGCGCAGGAGAGAGAAGGGCTTTCCTCTACTCAGCGCAGGAAAGAGAAGGGCTTTCCTCTACTCAGCGCAGGAGAGAGAAGGGCTTTCC